TAAATTAAAGAGTAAGCGTGTCCACTTATTGAAAATGTTCGACGATAAAGCAAAAAAAAAACTGGCAATGCATGCAAATTATAGTAGTTTCGTTGTAAATAAGAGAGAAGTTATTGATATCTTCCTGGCACGTTTCTCTATCTCATGAATTCTGAGGGTAATTCGTCTTCTGCATTTCCACACCAGCGACATTACTCTGTTTTCCCAAGGATTGGATAATTGAGTTATCTATTTGTAGAATATTTATACCTGTGCAATTACGCAGTTTTCAATTTGAATATGTTATAAAACTACTGAAGATCTCAAAAACATATTTCAATCTTCGCACAAAGAATGCGATTACAAATTTTTTATCTAAAACACATTTTTTATTAACTGATACCTTAAATGGTTTATTTTGCATAAAAACCACGATCTGATTGCAATGCTAATTTTCTCTACTTCTCGTTAATAAATAGAAATGATTTTTTGAAGAGCACATTGTATGTTTACTTGTTTCCCTTTGAGTGACAAGCACAGGTGGAAAATCGAATGAATATCGACCCACCACAGAACGGCAACATAAAAAGGTGTACCAGTCACAACGTTCCAACGTTACGTAGGCACAAGTAAATAAACGTGGAAGCTCGGTCGCGTTTTCAAACGAGGGAGATCCAGGTCCCTACTATTAACTAAATGGCTAATGCATCCCGAACGAAACCACTGTGATTTCAACTATGATCTCTCACGTCCCATTTTAGCTATCTGGATCATGCACGCGATCAATCATTGAATTTGGAGCTTCGTAATTGTGGATCTCGTCAGCGAGGAATTATAAAATGTATGCGGGTGGTTCAGACGATGATACGATTATCTGTAACGTTTATATGTTTCCTATGAATATAAAAATTAATTAGGTAATTTGGAGTAAATCATTTTTAAATTACTCAAATAAAAAATGAATGTAGTATCGATTGTGTTATATGTATATTGGTAGAACTCGAATTATAAGATATAGTGGGTGCAGTTTAAA